CTGCTACTTTTAGGGAAGTAAACTTCTCCAATGTTCTCTCTCCTGACATTGACCCCAGAAGCTGCCATAGTCTGCTTGTGCCCCTCTCCTACCTCCGCTCTCACTCCCCTTTTCCCAGGTGTAGAAGGCACACGCACGTCTCCCCATCCGGGACCTCACCGTGGCACAAGGCCCAGCAGGGACAAAACCCAAGGGGATAAAACAGAAGGAGCTTTTCCCTAAGAACCAGAGAGCACAAGAAAGAGCACCTGGGTAAAATCCAGCGGAGGGGCTGGCCTTGTTTCATCCGACCACAAACCGCAACAAACCACAAGCACCAGGGTGCTTCTGGGACTTATCTCTCTTTCTGCCTAACTATGAAAATTTTGAAAAATGTGGCAGATGTTGGTGGTAAGGACACATCTGACAAGTCTAACTGAACCTAAAAATGCAGTTGGACTTTTTTCTGATAGGAAGTGAAGTCTAACTTGGCCAGCAGGCCTAACAATGCTGGTTGGTTTTTAGCCAATTAGGTTATTTGGTAGACATTCTGCATATTGAAGGGGCTTAATCTGCAAATGAAAATTCTGACAAACATATGCTTGAAACCAGTGCACGATAAGTGATAGGACCAGAAATTACTTCCTTTGCAACTATTTAAGCTTAATTAGTTGCCAATATAAAAACGTGTGAGAGGGTAATTTTTTGAAAAATTTCCAGGACTACTTGCTAAAAATTCTGAAGATCACTGCTATGTGTTAACTACAGGCTGTGGAAACCGCCTACTATGATGGCATTTGACCAGATTACCTGAAGTGGTCTGAATATGGCTCTGCCCCAAGCAGGAGAAAGTCATCAAACCACCATCCATAGTTCTTTCCTTGCCTTAGAATCCATGGAAAGCCAGTCATAATGAAAAAGATGCTCAAGTGGAAGCAAAGCTCAGAGACCAGCACCATGGAAAAGCACAAAAAATAAAGAACACATAGGGTAGTTCTATTTTTAATTTCTTTTTTTTTTTTTTAAATGTTTATTTATTTCTAGGAGAGAGAGAGACACACAGCGTGAGCAGGGGAGGTCAGAGAGAGAGTCACAGACTGAAACAGGCTCAGACTCTGAGCTGGCAGTCAGCACAGAGCCCGATGCGGGGCTCGAACCCACGAACCGCGAGATCATGACCTAAGCGAAAGTCGGACGCTTAACCGACTAAGCCACCCAGGCGCCCCTCTATTTTTAATTTCTTGAGGAACCTCCACACTGTGGAAAATGGGTGATGGGCCTTGAGGAGGGCATTTGTTGGGATGAGCACTGGGTGTTGTACGTAAGTGATGAATCATGGGGATCTAGCCCCAAAACCAAGAGCACGCTGTATACACTGTATGATAGTTAACTTGACAAAAAATTACATTAAAAAAAAAAAGATAAAGAATACATAGTTCCTCTGCCCTCAGGGGATTTGTAATTCAGTGGTGGGGAGTAAGACAGAAATACAAAGAACTAATGAAAAAAGCTGAACGGAGAAAGTACTGAAGGAGTTAGCACAGACCAGGAAAACCCGTCATGGGCCAAAGAAACAAAAGGCACATGTAACAGACTCCAGCACTAGCATTTTAACATTGTTTAACTATTTACAAGTCTTGGGCCCTGAAGACCCAGGATGTATATGAGTGTGATTTTGCTTTGGCGCATGCATGCTGAAGTTAGAATTGGCAAGGAAAGGCGCTTACCATTGAGTGAGGCAAGTTATCACCCAGCATCTACAGCTCTTAGCCACACACACATTAATGCTCTAGGCATTATCTTCGTGAAGATATGTCATCTTTATGAAGAATGGCTCCTAGAATAAAACCAGCTGGTACCGCTATTAATGAAAGTAAGTGGAAAAAGTAACACTAATACAAAGTGATGGTTCTCACCAGAAGAACAGAATTTTTATGGAGGTGAATACTTAAAAGCTCAAGGTTCCCAAGTCTCAGGTTTATACTTGGAGAAGGCCAAGAATCTAACATGCTTGGGTTTAATTAGAGCAGTATGTTTGAAGGCAGAGTGACAGAAGGGTTTGAACGCCAGGACAAGAAAATGGGATGTTAATCTACAAGCCACAGAAACCACTAAAGATGAAGGACTGCAGATGGAGAGACAAGGTTGAGTCCCACTATCTATGCGAGGTAAAGCCTGAAAGCAAAAGGGAGCATCAGAAATGGAAAGGAAGAAGGGCTCCTGGGTGGCTAAGTAGGTTAAGTGTCTGACTTCAGCACAGGTCATGATCTCATAATCTGTGGGTTCAAGCCCCACATTGGGCTCTATGCTGAAAGCTCAAAGTCTGCAGCATGCTTCAGATTCTGTGTTTCCCTCTCTCACTATCCATCTTTCACTCACACTGTCCGTCTCTCAAAAATAAACAAAAAAAAAACAAAAAAAAAAAAAAGAAGAAGAAGAAGAAGAAATGGAAGGAAGATCCCTGACCAAGGGGAAAAAGACTCCGAAGAACCTGAGGACCCACTGATAGCAAGGAAGTATGAGGGATGAACAGGACTGAGAGGTGGAGTCGCCTATGGCCAAGAAGATGGTGGGGCCATTCCTAGAAACAGGGAAATTCAGAAAAGGCTTGGGATAGATACTGGGCCCTGACTATAGTTTTGGAAGAAAACCATCAGCAGAGGGCAAAGAACTGCTTCCTGTAACATCCAAAGTCAAAGAGCCCAAGGGGAGAATAACAACAAAACAGCTAAGAATGTGTACTCACCCCGGTAAGAATTCAGTACCATCTGCTGGGCAAGGTCCCAAATCTTGATGCTAAGAAGCAAAAGGAAACAGATTCTTAATGTTGACCTACAGTATCTACGTAAAAACGGGTTCAAACAAGAACATGTCCCTTGTCATTGCTCACTGGGCTTCTACTAAGGTCTACTCACAATCAACTGCAATATCTCTAAGAAAATCTTATAGATATGTCATAATTAATCACCGGGTTCTAATAATAAGCCCATAATGCTACTCAATGAGGCTAATAAAGATAGTAAAGGCACCCAGCCAAGGTCTAAAATACAGTAGTGATAAACGCAAGGACCCACCAGAAGTCTTTGCTACCACTGACGGCTTGGGTGCCAGAGCTCAGGACACTGACTGTAGACACGATGTCATCATGTTCATACTTGCAGAACTTGCTGACAATGAGTGTCTCATTCTCATCCAGCTCCCACAATTCAACAGCACCTGTTAGGTATGGGGTGAAGGTGGAGAGAAATGAGCATGGACAACACCAAAGCAGTAACTCACTTCTAAGATTCAAGTGAATCCACGGTCACTAAACTAACAAAGTAAGCTATTGCTATAAAAGCAAAATCCATTATCATTAGAGGATTTAGCTAATTTTCAAGCCATCTGGCTTTATGGATGGCATTACGGTTTTCTTAGTAACAATCCGGAAAATTAGGTGGGGAAGGCTTCTAGAAAGACAAGGAAAGGTGAAATGACTGGCAAAATCCATTATCTGGCTTCCAGGGAGAAAACACTGAAAAATAAGTCCCAGGAGACAGGGATAAAGCCTCTACAATCTGTGTAGCAGAGCCCAGTGTGGTTAAAGCTTCCCAATTGCCTGAACATTGGCATTTGTTGAACAACTTGAATAAATGTCTCACAGCATCTTTAAAAAATATGCTGAATAACTGAACGTCTTGCACAGGGACAGATTAAGCACAGAAAACACCCCAAAACTTGTCTTGAATGTGTAGTGGTCGCGCTCAATTGTCTGAGAGGCTCAGTTTTTAATGTTCCACTTCTATGCATGCCTTCCAACACCCAAACACTGATTTTTTTTTTATGTCAAAGACTCCATTGCTGAATCTGATTTTCAGAACAAAGAAAGCAAAATGATGACATTTAAAACAGAATGGTTAGAAATAGAGACAATACAAATTGACTTATGCATCCTCTTTAAGATCAAGATTATCTCGGTTGAGGAAAGATGCTGGGGCGGTTACTGTAAACATTAAACGGTTCTTATCCATTTCTTAATTTTGTGAGAAATTCCCCCCATGCAATTTAGAATCTCCAAAAGGTATTTTCCCATTACACAGGAGCTCTCCTTCGGGCCAATACCCTCAAGCTGCCCTAAGCACTGATTATGGGACATTAAAGATTGAGCCCAGCCCAACCTGTATCTCATCATCCATTCCACCTGTGGGGTCGAGAGAAAGTGACTCACCTGAATCGGAAGCCACTAGGATGCCTCTGTCCCCAACCCAAGTGAGGTCAGCCACTCCGGCCTCCGTCTGTACTCCAGCGGAACAGAAGCCTTCGTTGGGGGCGGCACAAGGGTCCTTGAACAGCCAGAGAGAGCCAGCCCAGCAGCGGCCACTCAGGCTGGAGGCCCCGAGCAGGAGCGCCCCATCTAAGGGAAGTACAAGCTGTCAGAGCCAGAGGAGTGGAAGGGCTCGTCTCCATGGTGACCACACTGAACAGCAAGCGGGCCGGGTCTGAGTCTGAGCTCAGGAACGCGGGGTAAGGTTGGGGACTGAACTAGGCGATGCGAGGCAGGGGTCAGAAAGGCATGCAGGGCGGAGAGGAGTGCTGAAAGGGCCAGTCCTGGTAAAGGGCATCCCGGGCAGGATGAAGGAGCTCCCAGGCCCGGGATCTTGGCTCACCAGAACGATACCGCGCAGCCTCCAACTGTCGTTCCATACAAGCGGGCGCATTAGGGGGAAGGTTCCACTCGCGAGCCGCCGGGGGCACTAGTGGGGGCGGGGTTTCCTTCCGCATCTCCACGGTTCCAACTCCAACCTAGACCCAAACTGGACGCCCGCCGAGACTCAGCTCAGGCAGTCCCCACGTGGTGCCCCTCTGGGCCTCCGCCCCTTTCCACAAGCTGCTGCCGCGCTACATCTCGCGAGAATTGCTTCTACGGTTCCGTTCCGCAGTCGGCTGCCGCCCTCCAGCAAAAGGTTCTCCGCGTTCGTTGCCTCTTATCGCGAGAAAAAAAATTCGAGGCAAGTTAGTGGTCAGCGGACACAACGTTCTGTTCTCGCGAGACTTGTGAGCGACCATCTTGCACCCACCCCTGACAGTGTCTCTTGCTCGGGTCACTAGGACGCGGAGACAGCCGTGGACCTTCGCTGATTATGCTGTCCCGGGTGGTGCTTTCTGCGGCCGCTGCAGCGGGTGAGAAGTCTAGACCCTGATCCGGGCTATTAGAGTGATTGCAAAGGAGTGCGTCTAGGGTTCTGTGGAAGGGGTGGGAGGAAATGGGGTGTAGAAAGACGCAGCAAGATTTGGGCCTGAGCGAGAAATGAATTGCGTCCCTCGTAAAGGGAGCGTGGGGGTCCCGGGGGACAGGAAAGAGTGATGTATGGCCTTAGTGGGCGGGCCCCGTGGAGACCGGATGGAGGGGCGGACCAGATTTCACCTTGACCTTGCTGACCTGCGCCCTGTTTCTGTGTAGCTCCCCGTCTGAAGAACGCAGCCTTCCTTGGTCCAGGGTAAGTAGGAGGGGTGTAATACTGCCCTTCGTCCTTGTTTTATCACCTCAAGTCATTTCTCTGTAACCCGCTTTAAGCTTTAGGCCCGAAGTTACCCTCTTTAGGTAATTTTGAAAGGCTTAAGGCCTCATTCAAACGCTTGGGTTCTTCTAACTGCCTGGAACATTGTTGTGTCATCTGATGGCAAAGATTAATAGGATAAGCGATGTGCTCTAAACTGGAAACTGGTTTTGGTGTCTTCTAAGTCCCGCCCCTTTCCCTTCTGACCTTCAGCTAGACGTAGCCGGCACAGTCCACAGCCGAAATCGGAGTTGCTAGATTGCATACCCCAGAACGAGTTCTGTTGAATGAAAGAATGTTGTTTTCAGTCTCTCCCAGATTCCAGCTTTTACTGCCAGATCATAAGAGTCAGAGAAATCATTGATTCAGTAAATATTTTTCCACCTACATAACCAAGGATAGAAAAATGATTAGGGCTAACTTCGTTTCCTGGAGCACAGTCTCCTAGAGAAGGCAACTGGAAACCAGTGGTTTAGAGCAAAGACTCTAAAGTTAGAACATGATACGCCTGGTTCCTCCACTTGTACGCTGTGTGACTTCAGTTTCCTCGTCTGCAAAATGGAGAGAATAGTGCATTATGGGTTATGAGAACTAAGACTTCATTCCTGTGAAACGCTAAAAACAGTGCTTGATACATAGTATGTGATCGGTGTTAGCATCTGTCAGGTTTTGTAAAACATATCAATTTTCTTTGGAATTTCTCTTTTTGCTTCGAGACTTAGTCCTAAATCTTGCCAAGTTTGATAACTCTTTGTGCTGTGTAAAAATGGCTTTAATCCATCGGTAATTTTTGTGTGTGCAATAAAGTGAGGCTATCATTGCTTCCAGCTCATCAGAGAGGAAAAAAAAAGATTCCCTATGGACAAGTAAATAATTGTAATAGAAGTCATAAGTAAAATAACTGTATATAAGTTATAAAGAACATCCTTGATTTATCCTTTGACATTCCATATTTAATATATCAACAAGGCTCTTTCTCCAAATTATATCTGGTCTTATTTTTTCCACTACCACTGCTACTGAAGTATGAACCACTGTCAGCTTTCACCTGGCCTATTTCAGTAGTCTCTAAATTTTTTATGTTTTACTTATTTTTTAGAGAGAGAGTGACAGCACAAGCAGGGGAGGGACAGAGAGAGGGAGACACAGAATCCAAAGACAGGCTCCAAGCTCTAGGCTCTGAGCTAGCTGTCAGCAGAGAGCCCAACACGGGGCTCGAACTCCCGAACCAGGAGATCATGACCTGAACTGAAGTCGGATGCTTAACCAACTGAGCCACCCAGGCGTCCCTATTTCAGTAGTCTCTTAACTAGTCTTGTTTCATCTCTGTTCTTGTCCTGTTACAGTCTATTCTTATAGTAGCCTTAGGAATTACAGGACCCCCAACCCCAACAAAACCCTCCAGAGCTCCCCATCCCACTGAAATAAAATTCAAAGTTACAGTAACGCAGAAGGTCCAACATGAATTGATCTCATCCCACCTCTTGATTTATCTCTTTTAGCACACTCTCCAGCCATGCTGGCCTTCTTACTGTTCCCATGAAAATTGCCAAGCTTATTGTTGCCTCAGGATCTTTGTAGTTGTTCTTCTCTCTTTTCCCGGGGTCATTGACTCAAGTGTCATCTGACCTCCTACCAAAAAAGCCCTTTTCACTCCATTGCTCCCTAGCTTCTTACCTTACCCCATTTTTGTGTATGGACCTATACACTGCTACTTTCCCCAACCCCGCTAGAACGTGAAGTCTGGGACCTTGTCCGCGCATTACTGTACTGCCAGAGCCTGACATAAGGGAAAATGAATGTAAGATTGGGGAGGCCTTCATAAAAGATACACTTGAGATGTTGTGAAGGCCGCTTGGGCTTGGCAGCCATTGAGCGAAAGACCTACTAGGCAGAAGGAGCAGCAGGAGGCATTTTTGGTTTTTTTGTTTCTTTCCGAGAACTCTTAAGTAGTTGCATATGGCTAAATGGTAGGAGAGTGAAGGAAGAAGAGGATACAAAATCTGACAGGGGCTGAACCGTGTATGCTGGATTAAGGAGTTTATTTTCTGTAGGCAGGAGAGCCTGCTGAAGAGTTTTGAAGTCAAATTTGCAATTTAAAAACATTGGCAGTAGTGTGGAGGAGCTAGTTTTAAGACATTTTGGCAATGGCTGAAGACATTTTTGGTTGTCCCCACTGGGTGGGAGGGGGATGCTAACTGGCATCTAGTGTATAAAGGTCTCCGGGGTACTGCTAACCACTGTACAGTGCATAGAACAGCCTTCCACTGTAACAAAAAAAAAAATTGTCAGTAGTCCAGAAAGTCAGTAGTGGTGAGGTTGAGAAACCCTCACTTAAATGAAAGAGTCTTGAGCAGGATTCTCAGATTTCAGAAGTTGGTGGGCTAGCTAATACATTGGGAGGCAGAAATATTCAAAAGACAAGCCACAAACCAAAATCAATGAAGTAATACAAACCCTTCCATTGCAAAGGGATAGATAGAGGCAGAGCAGGGAGGTGGGGGACAGAAACATACTGGGAATTTGAAGGAGACTGAGCTGACAGCATATATAAAAAGATTAGAGGATTTTATTTCATCAGAATTTTAATGAGATACCAGTATACTATAACTTGTAAAAATGCAACGTTGAGCTACTGAAATATGAGAATAGTTTACGAACCCATGGTAATAGTACAGTGATTCAAGCCCAGTAATGGCATTAGCAGGTTCTCCGTGTATATTTGTAGCATGGATGAATGGGTCAAGCTGTATTTAAGAGTATTACGCTCAGTTCTGTATACCTCCTTTTAGTAAATAAACTCCTTGCAGTGGACAGTTAGGATTTTGAGAGAACTGAAGATGTTTAACCCAGTGCACTAGCATTTTGTGCATTACATAAAAAAATAACATTAGAACTAATGGACAGAGGTCTCAAGTATGTACACTGCAATTCAGTTTAAAGGTAAGCATAATTAGATCTACCCAACACTGAAAAGGCTTGTTCCACACCATGATTAGTTAGCATACCATCACAGAGCACATTCAGAAGGGCCAGAGTCCTTGCCATCAAAGTACTCGGCACAGCGGACCTGTAATAGCTAATCGCCTACATAGAACTTTACTGTATGCTTAGCACCATTCTAAGACTTTACGTAAAATCCTCACAGCAACCTTAAAAAAGTATGTTCTTTATTCCCACTTTACTTAGAGAAATCTGTGATTACAGAAGCTTAATCTTCTTGCTCAAAGTCAAGTGACATGCCTAGGATTTAAACCCAGATAATCTGGCTGTAGAGTCTTTGTTCTTAGATATTTCAGTTCCAATAATAGACAACCTGCTAGACGGATGACTTTTAAGACTTACAGAAGGGTTTCAACTTGGGGTAGAAAGTTACATGCAACTTTCAGTTGAGGCACCCAGGTAGCTCAGTCCATTAATCATCTAACTTTGGCCCAGGTCATGGTCTCGTGGTTGGTCACTTGGAGGCCTGCGTCGGACTCACTGCTCTCAGCGCAGAGCCTGCTTCAGCTCTTCCGTCCCCCTCTTCTTCTGCCCCTACCCTTCTTGTACGCTCTCTTTCTCAAAATTAAATAAACGTTTTAAAACAACAAAACAAAAGAAATCAATATAGTCATTTGCCTTTGTCACACAACTAATTGTTGGACCCTCACTTTCCTGTTCCTGGTCTGTTCTCTTTCCATGATGACAGTGGGCAATTGCCTCAGTCCTCCTCCCTGTTCATTGTTTCTACTAATTGTGCATACAACATGTTCTCTTTAAAGAATAGGCTTTAAATTTGTATAATTGCTACCTGAAGGGTGTTGCAGGCAACAAGGATCTTCCACACAGGGCAGCCAAGCCTTGCCCCTGTTCCACCTCTTCCTGAACATGGAGGAAAAGTTCGTTTTGGGCTGATCCCCGAGGAGTTCTTCCAGTTCCTTTATCCCAAAACTGGCGTAACAGGTAAGCATTTGCCCCATGTTTGATAGTATGTTTAGAAAGTATGGTTTATGTTTACCTAGGATTTTAGTGGCCTCTTAACCTTTTCCATATATACTGCAAAAATGAAGTCAGAAGTAAATTGTGGAAGTGATTCAGTGTAACACTTGTGATTTGGTTGCTCAAACTTGTCTTTGGAGTAATGTGTTTGAGATTTTAACTTGATTTTTATATCCTTGTCTCCGTTTGTTTATACACCACATTTATTTGGTATTATTATTATTTTTTTTTATGTTTATTTTGGAGAGAGAGACAGCGTGAGTGGGGAGGGGCAGAAAGAGAGGGAAACACAGAATCCAAAGCAAGCTCCAGGCTCAAGAGCTGTCAGCGCAGAGCCTGATACGGGGCTGGAACTCAGGAACCGTGAGTTCATAACCTGAGCTGGAGTCAGATGCTTAACAACTGACCCACCCAGGTGCGTCAATAGACCACGGTTATTAAATGCCTGCCTTATGCCAGGCACTCTTCTAGGCATACGGGGCAAACTAAGGTGCCTGCCATCCTGGACCATGTGTTCTGTCACAGGACAGATGATAAAGTAACGAGTAGCTGTATAATATATTGTCAGTTAATGGAAAGAACTATGGATTGACATAGAGCTAGATAAGACCATAGAGATTACTAGTTGTATATGTAAGAATTAAAACAAATTGGGCCATATTAGGTTTTTCCTTCTTAAAAAGGCATTAACTATTCTGAAATCTTACGTTTTTATAATGCAGTATGCTTTCACTTACGTTATTTAATCCTTACAACTGTTCTGTAAGAGCTTTTTATTTTACAGAAGAACTAGCAAATCAAGAATTTACTGAGATCTATTCTGTCTTTAGTGACTGGGTTGAACTTAAACTCAGGGTTTCCAATTCAGTATTCTTTTACTGCATACACTGCCTTTCTTGCTACCATTACTGATGTGACTGTGGAGCATTGGAAACCAAGGTTTTTTGTTTGTTTGTTCATTTGTTTGTTTGTTTTTTTAAACCCTTCAGGGAGTGGCCTAAAACTGCATTTCTATAACTGAACTTGTAAGAAACAGGGTTCTCAGATCTCCGTAGGTGATAAAAATGTTACGTATGAGACACTTTTTTGCAAATTGACTTTCAAAATTTTTGATTTGTATTTGGGGCACCTGGGTGGCTCAGTTGGTTGAGTGTTCAAATTTGGCTTAGGTCATGATTTCATGGTTCATGTGTTCAAACCCCACATTGGGCTCACCTCTGTGGGGTGAGTGCAGAGCCTCAGTGCAGAGCCTGCTTAAGATCCTCTGTCTCCCTCTCTCTGCCCCTCCCCTGCTTGCACTCTTAAAAATGAAACATAAAATAAAATTTTTGATTCACAATCAGATTTAAAGTTTGTATACTGGAGTGGCGTTTGGTTCAGTCGGTTAAGTGTCCAACTCTTGATTTCTGCTGAGGTTATGATCTCACTGTTCCTGGGAGCTCCTTGCTTACAGTGTGGAGCCTGCTTGGGATTCTCTCTCCCTCTTTCTCTGTCCCACCCCCACGTGGGACCGCATGTATGCTCTCTCTCTCTCTCTCTCAAAATAAATAAGCTTAAAAAAAAATAATGTTTATATATTGGAGGCAAATATTTCTTTAAAAAGGAACCGTTGAAACTTTTTTTGGGAAACTGGATAAAATACATTTGAGACTGTAAGCCTTTTGTTTTCATAATACATCCTAACATTCTTTGATCATAGTGTTGCTCAGAAAAACTGTAAAATGCTGCCCTAAAGCTTGCTCTGTCCTTGTCTTGCATCTTTTGAGGCATAGCAGAAGATCCTAAAGAAATACACATCATGGTTTTGTGTCCTTTCAGAACTCCTGGCCTGGATAAAGAAAAAGATAGCTACATTTGTAGCCTTGTAATTAGGTGCTATAAGAATTGAGAATTCTGCTATTTATTTAATTCACCCTTTTACATACATACTACTTTTATGTTGGGTTCTTTTTGCTTATTTCCAGTGTCAGGTTCCTGTTTAATAAAAATGAATAACATATTTTGCTGCACAAATTACTTCTGGAAGTAACCTGACATTTAGGTTTGTGAAGCAGTTGTGCTAGGCACTTTACGTACATTATTTCTCAGTTTCATCCACCGTATGAAGAAGGTACCATTCCCATTGTATAGGTGAGGAACCTAACTCAGAGATTATTTATACTGCTCAGTTTCTTATATGTTACAGAGTCAGATTTCCTGGAGTTCAGATCCTTGTTCTTTCAACTCTACCATATTGCTTCTCACTGCAGGGTCATCTTTAAGTCTAGTTATCTTAAGTCATTACATAACGCTTTCAACTAATAATATGCAGAGCTTTTTGCCTTCCCTTTCAGATACAGTATATTCATCATAGAATAACTTTTCCTTCTTTTAGGACCCTATGTGCTTGGAACTGGGCTTATCTTATATTTTCTGTCCAAAGAAATATATGTGATCACTGCAGAGACCTTTACTGCCATATCAGCAATAGGGTTGCTTATCTATATAGTTAAAAAATATGGTGCCTCTATTGGAGAATTTGCTGATAAACTCAATGAGGTAAGAACCATAAACCTTATTTCTCAATTTTGATTGTACTGAAAGCATCAATGCCGGGGCGCCTGGGTGGCTCAGTTGGTTAAACATCCGACTTTGGCTCAGGTCATGGTCTCACAGTTCATGAGTTTGAGCCCCATATTAGGCTCTGTGCTGACAGCTCAGAGCATGGACCCTGCTTCGGATTCTGTTTCTCTCTCTCTGAAAAATAAATGAACATTAAAAAAAAGTTGAGAGCACCAATGCCATCAAGTGATGTTTCTGATGCTAATGTTAATTAACAAGAAGTGAATTTAATTATAATGATTAAAATTGTGTTAATGTTAGTTACTAATTTTTTTTTTAATCTACCAAACTTTCTCCACTTTTTCCATAGTTTTGTTCATTCAACAGGATGTTGAATATAGCTATTATGGGCAATTATTTTTAAGGATTTGTGCATTTCTCCCCTGTATCTGTATGTTTCTTTGTGGGTGTTTTTACAAACAAGGACTATAACTTTGAGAAAGCATGAAATGAAGCTATTCTTGTTATTCTTTCTGCTTTCACTGATCATTGTTGTAAAATTACAATTGCAGCAAAAAATTGCCCAACTAGAAGAGGTGAAACAGGCTTCCATCAAACAGATCCAGGATGCAATCGATATGGAGAAGTCACAGCAAGCGCTGGTTCAAAAGCGCCATTACCTCTTTGATGTCCAGAGGGTAGGTTTCAGAACCTTTTAAGGAAAATGAAGATATTCATTTGTGTGCATTTAAAACAAAATGTAGAATCTCTAATGAGGAATGGTTGAATATGTTGAGCATATTTTATTAAGAAAAGAGATTTGGGTGGGACTTGGCAATTACAGCTATTTAGATATTTAGTATCTGTCAAATGGATAAATAACTCGAATTACTCTAAAATTAAAAGTTATAAAAGAGCATATTTTGGATCCACACAGAAGGAAAGTAGTTATTCAACTATAGCTGATTAAAAAATGGTATTCGCTCTCTAAGGCCATAGGTGAAATACATGCTCTGTTTCATAAATGCTTGCTATAAGGAAATCTGATACTTTACATTCCAGTTTACAAAGGAAATTCAGCGAGTGGTAGAGCTTTCTACCATGAACAGGGCATCATTAGATGCTAAACTACTTAGTTTCTGAAACATTTTTAAGGACACATTCGAGTATTTTTGTCTTAACAAATCATATTGTTACCTACTCTAGGCCCAGTGCTCTATGCCTGAAATTTACAGTGACATGGCCTCATGTTGATATTTTATGTTACAGAAGCAGGTATGAAATGTAAAATGAGATACAGGGATCTGAAATATTAAGGCTTCAGGCCAGTATTTCTTATGGTGGTTTTAGCACCACATGTGTCCGTCATCTCTGGTGTGGGTTTTTGGACCCAGTCCAAGATTGTGCAAGAAGAATCTATGTTTTTAAAAACTGATTCCTAAAGATTCTCAAGCACATAAATGGTTGAAAACCTCAGAAAACTTTAAAACCTCTTTCTATACATATTTAGGTTTCAACCGGAGAGTGCTCCCTACCTCACACATGATATGTACATAGAAACAGAGTATGACTTGAAGGTGTAGCATTTTCATAAGACTCAAATAGGTAGTCACTAAACTTCTATTTATGAAATAACTTACGGGGCGCCTGGGTGGCTCAGTCGGTTAAGCATCCGACTTCAGCTCAGGTCATGATCTCACAGTTCGTGAGTTCGGGCCCCACGTCGGGCTCTGTGCTGACAGCTAGCTCAGAGCCTGAATCCTGCTTCAGATTCTGTGTCTCCCTCTCTCTCTGACACTCCCCTGCTCATGCCGTCTCTTTCTCTCTCTCTCTCTCAGATATAAATTTAAAAACAAAAAAAGAAATAACTTACTACCTACTGATCTCTTCCTGTGGGGACTCTGGTCAAGACAGGTATTTGCAAATAAAAGAAAGCCTGCCTTCATGGAATCTGCCTTCTAGCCAGGGGTTGAGAGAGGATAGAAAAACAGGAATTGAGCAGATGGGGATGTCAACCAGTCACGAGTGTGATATAGAACAATTAACTAGTAAAGAAATAGAGTTAAACTAATTAGAGGAAACGAGATTTACAAGGAAGGAGTTATTTTTATCAGGCAGTCTAGAAAGACCTTTCACGTGATACTTGAACAGAGACCTGAAGAAGTGGTGGTACAAGCTTTGTGGACTTGTAGGGAAATCGTGTTGCAGCAGAAGGAGGACAAATCACAAGGGCCTACGCCTGGAAGCTTGTTTGGCGCAGTCCAGGAAAAGCAAGGAGACCAGTGTAGCTGAAGAGGAATGAGTGAGGAGGAGAAAATAAAGCAAAATAGAGAGTGGTCATGGGCTGGCTCAGGTGAAGTCTTGTAGGCTTCTCTGTGGACTTTGTCCTCTGAATGAGAAAGTCATTGAAGCTGTTAAGCAGAGGATTAATACAATCTCACTTCCGTTTTGAAGGGTTACTCTGATTGCTTTGTTGGCAAATAGCCTTCAGTCTTGTAGCACTGGTTTAAAATGCCAAGTGCAGTTGTTAGGTATGGACCATTGGATGTAGGAGTCTGGAATTTATGGGGAGGATTCCAGGCTGGAGATTGGGGAAGTCATGAGCGGACAGATGGTACTTAAAATTATAAGACCAGAACACAACAGGGGAAAAAGGAGTTTCAAACTGTAGTCGTAGTTATGGTGAGGAAATAAAGAGCCTAAGAATTTGCCGTGCATTTAGCAACATGGAGGTTTTTGGTAACCTTGGTAAGGGCTATTTTAGTACAGGGACTGGAGTAGGTTGAAGAAAAAGTGGAAAGAGAGAAATTGGAAGTTGGTAAGGACAACTGCCAAAAATGTCAGAGTTTTACTCTGATAGTGAGCAAAGAACTTAGTAGCTAGAAGGGGCAGATGTAGGAGAGGAACAAGAAACTAAAATGGAAGAAGTGGAGAGTCTATTGTAAATTTCCAAACAGCACATGGACTTTGGAGCCAAGGCACAAATTGTTCCTTGGCTCCTAATTAATTGTTAATTTAAATGGTAATTTAAAGCTTACCTAAATCTATACCCAGAAAACCTAAGAGATGGGGCACCTGGGTGGCTCAGTTGGTTAAGCATCCGACTTCAGCCCAGGTCATGATCTCACAGTTCGTGGGTTCGAGCCCCATGTCGGGCTCTGTGCTGACAGCTAGCTCAGAGCCTGGAGCCTGTTTCAGATTCTGTGTCTCCCTTTCTCTCTGACCCTCCCCTGTTCATGCTGTCTCTCTCTCAGAAATAAATAAAAACATTAAAAAAAAACAAACCTAAGAGAATCAACATAACTCTTGTAATAATGAAATTCGGGGCTCCTGGGTGGCACAGTCAGTTAAGCATCCTACTCTCGAGCTTAACTCAGGTCATGATCTCACCATTTGTGAGTTCGAGTCCCACATCAGGCTCTGTGCTGGTGGTGTGGAGCCTACTTGGGATTCTGTCTCTCTCTCCTTCTCTCTGCCCCTCCTCTGTGTAAGAGTATGCCTCTCATTCTTTCTCTCAAGATAAATAAATATTAAAAAATTTTAATGACCAAATTCAGTTAGGTGTCTGGGTGCAACATTACTGTCTAAGAAATGAAATCAGCACCCTTCCATATACAAGTAGCAATCAGTCAGAAAATAGAGTGGAAGGAAATAAACCATCTAGGAAGAGAATGCCTCCAGTAGACCTTGCTGGAAAAGTGCAGACTTTTTACTTGAAAAAATATAAAATGCTTGTGTGGCTTAAGGTTCTAAGAATGTTGTTCTTAGATTGGAAGACTCCGTATTATAAAGACATACATTCTCCCTATTTTAATCTCTAAGTTTAACACATTCTTGGAAGGAAAGTACTAATAGCCTGGGAGTAGGGAATGTTGGGACTTGGACAAATTGATATTAATAGAAGTAGAATACCGAGGAATATTTTGGAAGAAAGAAGTAATGAGGAACTGTTGTGCCAAAAAGAAAACCCATTATTAAGATAATAACATACTGTAGGTAGCACACGTGGTGCATGAAAAGAAGGTCAGGTTGGAGCCACAGAAGAGAAGGTCTAGAGATGGAACTAAACACCAAGGCAACTGAGACATGGCAGCTTTGTCATAGAGGGGAGAGCATTGGGCACCTGTGTAGACATGAGGTTGGCTTCCTGCCTTTTGCTTTCTACTAAAATAAGTTTCAAATGAATTAAAGGTCTTTCTAAGGAATGAAACCATGAAAGTAGAAAAAGAATATGAAAAAATACAATTCCTTTGGAGTTGACAAGGCCTTTCTAATAAAGATAACAAAATCAGAATCATACGTATGGTGACAAATGTTAACTACACTTACTCTGGTGATCGTTTTCCCAATGTATACAAAATACTGAATCTATGTTATATACTTGAAATTATCCTTCAACTTCCAAAAAATAAATTATACCTCAATTTAAAAAAAAAATCCATGGATAAAGAAGACGTATGTATATACAATGGAATACTATTTGGCCTTTAAAAAAAAAAGGAATGAAATCTTGACATTTGCAACAGCGTGGATGGAATTCAGAGTAGTATGCTAAGCAAAATGAGTCAGAGAAAGACAAACTGTATGATTTCACTTGTAGGATTTAAGAAACGAAACAAACGAGCAAAGGGGGAAAAGAGCAAGAGAGAGACAAACCAAGAAACAGACATTTAACACAAACCGGTGGTTACTGGAGAGGAGGAAGTGGGGGGATGGGAGGAATTGGTGACGGGGTAAGGAGGGCACTTGTGATGAGCCCTGGCTAATGTGTGGAAATGTTGAATCGCTCACTGTATTGTACACCTGAAACTAACAGAACACTATATTTACTGGAATTCAGATAAAATCTTGACAGGGAATAGAGAAACTTTAAAAATCCAGAAATTATAAGAGGAAAAGTTGTCCAGTTGATCTCATAAAAATTTTATGTGTACAAATTAGCGTAAACAAAGTTACATGACAAACTAGGAAGACTGTGTGTGTTCCATGTGACACAAAAGGGTAGTTACCTTAGGGGAGGCCAGTATCCCAGTAGAGAACTAGGCATAGGACATGGACCACTCATAAATAAGTAAACGTAAATGGTTTGTAAATATGTAAGTTTTCTCCTTAGGTAATGACAATTAAAATTCATTTTTCTTCTGCTTATGAGAATAGCACAAAGTAAAAGGTTTTATACATCATTGATCAGGGTTTGTGTTGCTGGTAAGAGAATGAAGTAGTACAAGGTTATGTGGAATTTGACAGTATTAATCAGTTTAAGAGCATGGGTTTTAGATTCCGACCCCTTGTATTCAGATCTTGGCTTCACAGTTTATTAGCTCTATAACCTTGGACAAGTTCCTTAGCTTCTGCCTCAGTTTACTATAAAATGGATATAGTAATAGTAAGACTTCATTGAATTGACACAGAGTGTTTAGAACAAAATAGGTACTCAACAGATGTTATTACAGCAAATATTTATACATAAGTGCAGACAGATGCAGTAGATGCAGCACTATTTGTAATTAGAAAAAAAATGGGAAGCAATCTAATCTATTAATAGAACTTAGTTAAGTAAACTATGCATTATGGAACACCAGTATGGTAGAATTCAGTGTAACTTAAAATTGACGTGGGTCTACACATCATAATTAGTAAAAGGATGTGTGCGTGTGTGCGTGCGTGCACGTGTCTTTACCTGTATTTTGTTTATTGAATATTCCTCAAGGGAATACAAGATACACAGGAAGATGGTGGCCCACAAGGGGACTGGAGGAAACTTACTGTATATACTTTGAAACATTTTTACGTAAATATGCTATTAGAATTTTTTATCACATGCATCTCATTTACATTAAATAAAATAATTTTTTTTTTCAAATTTTTTAAATTTATTTCTAGGAGAGAGAGAGACAGCGTGAGCAGGGGAGGGTCAGAGAGAGAGGGAGACACAGACTCTGAAATAGGCTCCAGGCTCTGAGCTGGCAATAAGCACAGAGCCCGACGCGGGGCTCGAACCCACGAACCGTGAGATCATGACCTAAGCGAAAGTCGGACGCCTAACTGACTAAGCCACCCAGGTGCCCCAAATAAAATAATTTTGTATAAAATACAAGGAAGTGGTAAGCTCTTATAACTGGCAGAATTCGCAGAATAGGGGTGATCCTTCAACTAGGAAACAGTTCTCATCAGTTCTTAATTTTGCCTCAGAATAACATTGCCTTGGCCCTGGAACTTACGTACCGGGAGCGGCTGCATAGAGTGTACAAGGACGTAAAGAGCCGCCTGGACTATCACATCTCTGTGCAGAACATGATGCGCCGCAAGGAACAAGAGCACATGATAAACTGGGTGGAGAAACATGTGGTGCAGAGCATCTCTGCACAGCAGGTACGTGCTGTCCTGAAACTTCCGGAGCTGGAGCGATTTCTGAGAGCCTCTGCTGATGCTCTGTTCGGCTAGAGATTGCTGCCAGAGAGTCCTTAGGCTCGAGACAGCGGGGTCGCCCTGGTTCGTTTTTCTAGATAGTGGTAACTTGTAAGATGCTGCCCAACTACCTGGGTGGCTTTCCTCTTCTCTCAGAATTTGGTTACCAGAGAGTCTCTTAGTGTCAGAGACAATGGGAGGTAGCTGGGAACACTGACTGCAGCAGACTTGTATTCAAGTCCCGTCATTTGGGAAACGTTAACCAACATATTTCATTTCTCTGTACAACCGACTGTATAAAACTGTGTGAGCCCCTTCCATTTCCTAATTCCATAATCTCTACTCCATTCCCTCTTCCCTGCTGCTTAAATCATTGGTCTTGAATGGGAAAGAAATGTTTTTTATCATTTACCTAAATTTGATTTCCTTTTTAAAGTTTATATATATATATTTTTTGACTTGGTTTTTTCTTTCCCAAATACATAGTATATTTAGGCATTTCCAGTCATTTTCTGTATAACATTCAAGGACTAGAAAAACAGGGTCTGTCAACATTTAATGATTTTCTTTCCCAATAAGTTCTCTCTTGCGTAAAAGTAACATGTTTATTTAAGAAACGGGAAAAACAAAAATACAGAAAAGAGACAAAATTATTCTCCTTTTAAACATTTCTGTGTTATTAATGTTTGGTAGTTGTTAAGCACCTGTTAGCTGTATATGCTAACATTGGTGGCACATGGTTAAAGGAATGTCTGGCTTCAAATTTTATGTAGGTTTCACCCATAAAAGCTGTGAGCCAGGGGATTTTAACTAGTTTCCAGGATTTGCTTAAAATAAATTGCATTTCTCCTATGTTACATAAAGAATTCCTAGTAGTCTTGTCATATCAAGTCAGTAATCTATCTTTTTTTTTTTTAATGTTTTATTTATTTCTGAGAGAGAGAAAGACCGCGTGAGCAGAGGAGGGTCAGAGAGAGAGGGAGACACAGAATCTGAAGCAGGCTCCAGGCTCTGAGCTGTCAGCATAGAGCCCGACGCGGGCCTCGAACCCACGAACCATGAGATCATGATCTGAGCCGAAGTTGGATGCTTAACTGACTGAGCCACCCAGGCGCCCTGTTCCATCTTGAGATTCTGTAGGAACCTCAAGATCTTGTAGGACGCATCCTTTAGAATTACAGTGTTATTGCCTTCTGTGTATTTAGAGGCCTAAGCAGATTTCTCTTTCTTTATCACAGGAGAAGGAGACCATTGCCAAGTGCATCGCAGACCTAAAACTCCTTGCAAAGAAGGCTCAAGCACAGCCAGTTTTGTAAATGCATCTGTCTCCATGGAGACAGACACAGTTGACCAAGGAAACTAGTCAATGTGGCAAAGTCTTTCTCTGCTGCTGTCTACTGAAGTTACAGTTAACCTTTCCTAAAAATGAAAAGTTTGAGTTTTACATAGAGAATTAAAACAATCTATTGGCCAGTGAGATGTTTTTCATCCTTGCTCTGTTTTGAGTTGTTCCATGATCACTTTTGAATAAGCAGTTTGCTTTTAATAAAATTTGTTGCCTGGCTAAAGATTACCAAGTTATTGTTAAAATTTGTGATTAATTCTACCATCTTGCATTAAAATTACAGTTGAAAACTAGGTTTTACAAGTTGTGTAATATTCTGAAATTTAACATTTGTCAAATGGGTAAAAATCAAACATGTCATCAAACTGAGAATTTAGTGTAAGCTATTCCTGGCCAACTGACAGGTTACTGGAAATTTAAAGCTTTTTTAGTATTCTTAAAATAACTAAAGGAAATATTGTGTATCAAGCCACGTTATTGACTTTGTTAGTTTAGTAATACGTCTGTAGAAAATATTACGGACCCAGTGTGTCATAAAATTAAAAAATCCAGCAAATAAGTAAATAAATTCTTCCCTTCTACAGGTTTGTCTGCATTTAATTCTCCCATTCTTGTGTAAGGATGTCCTTGTACACAAAGGACAACTTACATAATAGGAAATATTTGACAATATGTACCATATGGATAACTGCTATTTTCATGGACTTCCTAGGATTTTAAGTAATATAACAATAGATACCAGATCAATATTTATCGGTGGATAATATATTCACCTGCTATATAAATTAGATTGATACCTTTATTGTTACTTAAAGAGATTTTGAACTAGGATATGTGTTTGTAAGGAGTTTGACAGCTGTTGTGGGAGCTGGTTACGCTGATCTCTGTAAGGCTTTTTTACCTTTGATTCTGACACAGGAGCCTGAAGTCCACAGAGCAGGCAGTAAAGAAGGGAAGGTGAATGTCAAGTGAGAGACCCAGGAACACATAGAAGTCGCAAGCACAGTCCGAACCCCTTGTCTGTTTTTATAACCTCTGAGTTTGATGGTATGATTCCTCGAAAAGCCCGGGTCCTTTTTCACACAAAACTTGTCCAAAGGTTAGAAAAGCTGAAGGGAGGTCCAGGGAACGGTGGGGAAGGCCCAGCTACAGCTGCTGAGCCACAGATCAACAACATGTATGAGCTACTGAATAGTTGCTGCTTTACCTGTGCCCTCGGAAATTGCTCAAGAATCAAATGGCTCAAAGGAAAACATTCAGGGAAGAGAATTCTGGAGTAGTTCAGCCTAACCCACTTGACACATTATGAGCCACCGCAATAACTGTGCTATTAATAAATGTTAACCTGAATAAATAATACGTGAAGCAAAAATTCTAATCCCAAGAAGTTAATGAACCTCCAATAAAATATAGAGACAGCAGAAAGGTGACAGGTCAGAAAAGAAAAGCTGAGCTGGCATTTGAAAGCGGAAGTTAGCCAGAAGAGTGTCTGAGGGATTCGAGTCCAGAAAGAAGGAGCAGGATTCATGATCATAGAGAAGCTAATGGAGCAGAGTAGCATTTTTTTTTAAAATAATTTTATTTATTTCTAAGAGAGAGACAGCGTGAGCAGGGGAGGGTCAGAGAGAGAGGGANAAATCCTTGTTTGGTAGCATTGACTATTAGTTCAACAGAAGTTTTGTTTTAATAGTATGTAAGTGTTGAGTTTCTCCTTCAACTTGAGCCATCTTAGTTTGTCAATTCTTTTTTTTTTTTAATGTTTTATTTATTTCTAGGAGAAAGAGAGAGAGAGACAGTGTGAGCAGGGGAGGGTCAGAGAGAGAGAGGGAGTCACAGACTGAAAAAGGCTCCAGGCTCTGAGCTGGCAGTCAGCACAGAGCCCGACGCGGGGCCCGAACCCACGAACCGCGAGATCATGACCTAAGCGAAAGTCGGACGCTTAACTGACTAAGCCACCCAGGCGCCCCCAGAGTAGCATTTTTAAAACTGAGGAACTTGAGTGAAATATGAATAGGAGTTCTATCAGAGTCCTTAATGCTGTGCTTAGAAGTTGGATTTTGTTCGGAGGGGAACCAGTGAAAGGTTTTAAGCAGAGGAGTGACAACTAGATACTTTGTTTCAAAAAACTCAACTATCAACAATAGAAGACATTTTGGAGAAGCAAAGCTAGTTTGTCTGCTGGAACATTCTAAGGAAAAGACATTGAAGACTTTAAGAAAGGCCTTGGCAGTGTGGACAGAAAGGAATTAAACACAAAACGCAACATTAGCAGAAATTTGTGGAGAATATGGAAGAAGGGAAAAATAAAATGTGAGTCACCGTTTGCTTGCTTGAAAGAAGAGAAACCGAGGTATTCTTACTGTGATTTGGAATACAGGACAAACTGATTCAGGGAAGACTAAGGCTCAGTATAGAGCCACGGAAGAACACCGGTGTTTGAGAGATGGTAGATAGGATTCTGCCAAATAAAGGATAGCCAGTTCTTGGAGGAAAACCAGGAGGCAGTAGTATAAAATCAGGACAGTGCAGAGTTCTGTGTCTGAAGAAAAGGAGATTAAGAGGACTCCATGCCCATCAGAGTTAATCACTTGAAAGTCTGTGGTGGCCCTTCCTAGAGTAGTTTTGGTTGAAGGGTAGGGACAGAAGATAGATTGCAGTGGTGGTAAAGGATTGAAAGGCGGTGAGGAAACAGACCTACGTAGAATAATTTCCAGAACGCTACTCACCCTCACTTGTTTTGTCTGCATGGACATTGAATGGACATGTTAAAGGCATCTCAGACTGAAGTCAAAAATAGATCTCTCAGTCTCTACCCACTGCCTGCCCTTCCCTAAGTCTTCGTCTCAGATAATGGCACTACCGTTCAGCTAAGTCGCTTAGCTCCAGACTAGGTGTCAGCCTTGGTCCCTCTCACTTTGCCTACCCAACCCGTCAGCAACTCTTGTTACTCTACTCAAAACTTCTCACAGATCTGCCCCTCCTACCACTGTCTAACCCAAGCTGCCTCTTCAGCTATGACACTTTGGGCTACTACAATTCTCTGTTGCCACACTTGCACCTCTTTTAACAAGCCTCTGGAGCTAAAGTGAGCTTTCTCAAACGTAAGTCTAATCGTATCACTCCCCTGTATAAAACCGTAATGCCCTATTACACTTTGAATAGAATCTAGTCCTCACCGTTATTTACAAGATACTGTATGATCTGGTCCGCAGCAACCTCTGACCTCACCTACCACTCCTTGTTCATTCTGCTTTGGCCACCCTTTTTTTTTTTTTTTTAAAATGTTTATTTATTTTTGAGAGAGAGACAGTGCAAGTGGGGAAGGGACATAGAGGGCGACACAGAATCTGAAGCAGGCTCCAGGCTCCGAGCAGTCAGCACAGAGTACTTTGGCCACCCTTTGCTGTTCCTCAAATGTCTAAACCTTTCCAGTTTGCAGCATTTGTACAGACTTCAGAGCTTCCCTGACAAGTTACCACGAATGGTAAATATGCCAGGAGATACTACTCGCCTTAATATGTGGAGCAGCCTGGCCGTTAGAGACCTCGGGCCAATGATTTCAGGCTGAGAACAGCATCTGGGTTTCCCGTAAGGCCACCTGGTCTGCGCAGAGTCTGAAAGCATGCCCCACAGTCCCCAGAAGCAGAGAACCGGATGAGTGACGTCCTGCGCTCAGCAACATCACCGACACGTTGCCAAGAGAGTGTCTGCCAATCTAGACATTAGCCATGGCCGGTTATAGAGCACGTGCTGCTTCTGTTGGGCAAGAGGCCACGGATGGAGGAATAAGATTACAGTGTCAGTGAGAAAAGGGAACTATTGTTAGATTCCTTACTTTTGTTATAAATGTTACAATGACCATAAAGGATTTATTATCAACGATAATCTGAAGACCATTCCAATCAAGTCAAATCACCCTATTTCAGTAGTTATTCTTAGCAACACTCATGGTGAGATAAACAGAAATGTTTCCTGATGTGATTAAATGTAAAGTAGACAATATCACCTGCGATGTAATCTAGCTAAAAGTATTTAATTTCAATCTATCAAGGCTTAAGATGTAAATTCCAGTTCCAGACAATGAAAGAGATAGAGGAACAGATAAATGACACTAAAGGAAATAACTAAATTAAGGATTGTTTTTGTATATATTAGGTCTTGTGTTTTCCCTTAAAAATTTTTGATGTTTTCTGTTAAGGTCCTATACCTCTTTTATAACACTTATTCTAAAACCTTTCTATCCTTTATTAGTATTCTAAAATGTACCTTTTTACATTTTTAACATCGGAGTGAAATGTAAAGCATAATCTTAACAGTACGAAAGCACCACAAGATAACAAGAAATCATCAGGTCAAGAACCAAGAGACCATGGAAATTCGGAGAGGTGAGCTTAGCACTCGGGACCACTTCTGCCCTGGGAGCATTTGCCAATCTGGAGAGATGGCTAAGACTAAGCTATGCTCCTGGCGGTTCACAGGCTAGCAGAATGAAAGACAGAGCCCAGGACCCACTGAGGATGAAGACCCAAGTAGGTATCACTACTGCCCACCACCGCCACACATGGTGCACAAAGCTGCGCTCGGAGTACAGGTGAAGACAGAAAGCACCAGCCCTTCCACTTGACAGCACTCTGCTGTGAGCGGACCACTCAGTGAACTCAGCCCTGAACTTGGATTAAGGTGATTCCAGATTGCTGGTGCCCCCAGCAAAAAAAAAAAAGAAAAGAAAAGAAAAAGAAAAAGAAACCTCATTTGGAAGAAAAAAACATGATCCTAGTCTTCTATTTCTTCTACAAATGATTTTTCAAACCCAATTTTACAGGAAGAGATAATCAGATGATTAGGAGATAAGATACTATAGGCAAGGATAAATAAGCCATAAGCTAATTATGCTTATTGTATTGAAGGAAATAAAAGTCAAGTTTGAAAATGTTGACAGGGGTGCGTGGCTGGCTCAGTCAGTAGAGCAACCAACTTGATCTCAGGGTTGTGATTCAAGTCCCACATTGGGTGTGGAGCCTACTTAAAAAAATGGACAGAAAACGAGAAACTCTTTTAAAAGAAACAAATTTTGAAAACTATAAATTCTAGAACTGAATAAATATATAGAAATTAGCTCAATTGGCCATTTTCAATAGCAGATTAGAAAGGAGCAATTATGAACTGGAAATAAAAGAGAATATCCAGAGTGAAGAAGAGAGATAAAAAGATGAAAAATACAAAAAGGAGAGTAAGAAGATACTAAGGTCTAAATACGTAGCTGGAGTCCTAAAAGAAAATGAGAGAAGATGAGGCAGAAGGAATATTTAAAGAGCTTATGGCAGAAGATTGTGAAAGGAAATGATCAATGTGTGTGGGGAAAATACCTAACTAGAATTCTATAGCAGCAAAAATACCTTTTAAGAAGGAAAGAGAAATAAAGATTTTGAGAGATCTAAAAATGAGTTAGCAACCAGTAGTACTTCATTAAGACTAAGAGCTAGCTATTCTTAAGACAAGGAAAATGATCCCATAGATAATGCCAGAAACACAAGGGAAAAGGAAGAAAAACGTAACCTGTTAAATATGTGAGTAAACCTAA